AAAGACTTTGCTAACCGAAGATGTCGGACAAATCGGTCTATAATTTATGACGTCAGCTTTGCAGCCTTTTTTAAATATTGGCATCACAATTGCGGTGCTCCAGAGTAAAGGAGTCTCTCCCCGAAGAAGGAATCTTGGAATAGTAACACCAAGACTGGAGCTATACCGAGAGATGCTTTACGAAGGAAAATGTATGGTAGTCGGTCAGGGGACGTGGATCTCCTAAGTGGGAGGCGCCTCAAAATATGATAGACTGTATCCGTGGTGATGTCAAGATAATCGAGTCTGGTGTTTGTAAAAGATGAGCATTTTGCTTTAGAGGTTGTAGGTTCTTTATAAACGCTTTCAAAGAAATCGGCAAACCTTTCTGCTTTGTCCTTATCACTCTTGCAAGCTGCCCAGAAGAGTCATATATAGTACCGATACCGTAAGACATCCTCAGGTTTTGATTGCAGAAGCGATAGAATTCTATGCCTACAGTTCGAATTTGGCGGCGTGGTGTTATGGAGCAAAGCTACGCCGCATTCGCCTGCGGTATATCCTGAGGGCCTTTTGGGTTGCGTCGCTCCTAAATGCAGCCGCAGAGGAGCTAGCGCTACGCTGCGGATTCCTCATATTCTCCATACATATAGAGATCAAAATGTGGAAGGTAAAGGGATTTTGAGACTGATTTAGTAGAACATGAGGAAGAAGTGTCGCAGGTACAGGGAAATCAAAAGGAGAGGAAATCGATTTTTCTCAAGAAGTCACTGACGGGAAGTTTCTATCCCTTTCCTCTACTAATTCTCGTGTTTCACTTCTCTTGAACACCTTTTAACTCAAATTTAGCCCTTTGATTCATCACAAAATTCATCTTCAAACTTAATCTGTTTTTTTGATTTTTGGTCTCTTCATTGCAATTACACAGTTTGAACATCTCAGGGCGTAGCAATAGGGAAAAAGACCCAATCTGGCAAGAGCGCGTTACTCCTGCGGCTGCAATTAAAGGCGACGCAACGCAAATGTCCCTCAGGATACACAAAGGGGAATGCGGCGTGGCTTTGCTCCATAACGCCTGCTCCCCTTCGAATTTGGTGTCATATGCTTGTCTCTACGCTCTAGATAAGAAACTTGTCAATTTTGGCTTTGTTCTCAAAATCGCGCGCGGTTTTCCTAAGGCATGATGGAACACGTCCATCATGTAACCTGTCTTTTAAAAGGTTGTGCTTTACTCAGTGGTCGCTTTTGGCACTATAGGAAGTATACTGAAATGTCTTGCACAATGTAGTATGTGCAATTACCTTCTGTTTACTACCCTTATGCTTAAAAGTGCTCTATATGAGCACAGGAAATATCGTAATTACTGTTCTTACATAGATTCTGCGTTCATTTTTCCTCCAAGGAACACTCACAACTCGGCGCCCAGGGGCGCTTGGCAGATAGTGAAATCAGATTTGGAATCAGCCTTTGATGCTGTTCAAAGTGGTAAAGGAAAAAAAGAAAGGCCACTTCGACTAAAGACGCTTCCCTTGTAGCACTTTCCTGTACCGATCACCATAAAGTAGAGAAACATGCAGTGCCGCTTTTCAGTCAAAAAGTCATTGAACTCCACCGAAGTTCACCCGAGATCCGCATGGCATCGTTATGTCTTACACTTGTTGAGAGTGGACGAACTTCTTCTACAAGGGCACTGTACGCCTACCGTCCCTTTGAATAGTTGTCCACGGGTAGCTTACTCAGTGTGCAATAAATACGCACATCGGGTAACCTACCGTAAGCAAAAATTCGGAAGGATTCGTGAAATTTGACCGTCTACCATGCATTTCATAGGTAAACAGTCACTTCTATACATCTGGTAAAGCTCGCCGAGCAAGTCAAACAGTGCTTTTTTCAGAATTCCTCCACTTTGGACCAAAATATATTGATGCGACGCGAATTTCAGTGAAGCCCGGTAGAGCTCGGTAATTTCTTTGGCCAATCATGAGCGTTATCGTATATTATGGAAAAATCAATCAAATGAAGCGAAAATCTTTGCAGAAGTTTAATAGCAAACTATAACACGTAGAGACTGAACTACCAGACATCACCTTCTATAAAACTTGCAAAGCATAACGCGTTATAGGCGTTATTTCAAGTCAAAACACGTTGATAAGGTAGAGAAACAGTTTTACAAACATCACTTCGTGGAGTGGTTCATTCTCATTCATGAATAACAAATTTCTGGCGATTCTCACTGCTACCTTAGCTGCTGGTGGAGTAGCGTACTACTATTATGGAAAAGAGATGGTGAGTCTTTGTTACAACTTAGAAAACTTCATAGTTAATTTGTTAACATGGGAAACTTGCAGAATTTGAGGTTTAGACTACTTGTTCAGCAAACTGCTTGTTGAATACTTAAAATGTATAAATGTGTTCAAAATGTGTCCAAGTAGTAGTTGTAGTTTCGTTTTGAGTTTCCCGTTGCGTATTTCAGACTGAGTTCAGCAAGAAGAAACTTTCTAAGCCACCCGCCAAAGAAGAGAAGAAAGAAAAGAAGTGAAATGTTCCGTACTCAGCATTTCTATATCTTCCACTGATGTACTTAGAATGAATATTTGTTCTAGATTAGATTCTGACGTACAGTTCAGAGAACAGTGCAATTTATCAGGCTAGATTGCCGTAATCTTCTCTGTTAATGTTTGCCAAAAAAGAGGGTTACGACCTTGAGTCTTTTGCAACTTAATCTGAGTCGCACAGTATGCGCGGCAACCGACGACAATCTCCTAAAAATTCCTCAGTATGAGGTTCTCATCATTCAAGTCGTCAAGTGGCGCGCATGTTGTGAAATGCGCATCTTGAGATACAAATTACTCGACGATAATCACTTAATCTGTCCGAGTAGAGAACATTAGGTCGGCGAAAGGGGCGGCGCGGACATTTGCAACAAACGCCCTTCATCATTACTCCTAATAGTATCTGTCCACATGGTGGAGCCTAATGGCGACCTAATGCCCTCTACCAATCTGTCCAAATGTTCGGAAAAAATTTGGTCCCTAGTAAGAGAGTCATATAAAAAATGTTTTCATTAGCTTACCATGAATTTTTAGCCTTTGAATGGGTGCCCTTAACAACTCGTTCTCACCCGAGTTTATTTGTCTGTTGATTTGTTCGCCGGCAAAAAACTTGAACAAAAGTAGACGCTGTTTGACATGCTTGAACCTGTATTTTTCTCCACTTTATAAAAAAACAACAGGATAAGAGGCAAACACGATTTCAACGTGTTGAGCGTGTTTAAAGCGTTCCCGAGTCTCCCAGACGTTGTTGTGACTCGTATAGTGCACGTGTTCGTTACATCATGGACTTGCACCTTCTCGAAAAGTATGTGGCACATTTATATTATTTACAAAATAGGTCCTTTGCACGAACTTGGATCTAGTTGTACTTGAGGTAATCTTCTGAAGCTGAGTGAATGCTTAAGTTTGGTGTAAAGTTATACGTCAACTAGATCAACTGTAAGACCCTAAAACGCTCTTTTTTGGATGTTTCACTACTCTTTTTCTGAGAAGAAGAGGTTCAGGCTTTTGAATTCCTTTCTTCATGCATTTGATGTGCTTTCAACTGAAAAAATCTGACCTCGTAAGAAGGTTAAAACTGCGAGAGTAAGAATGAATACCTTTCAGTTCCTTGAAAAGATTCAGTGTGCGGTCTATTATTTCTTTTTGCAAAAAATTACGACTTTTAACACCGTCAGGAGTATATCCTATGAAGAATTATTGGAGTTTCGTAAATAGAAGGAACAAAAATCGATCAGACTGTATACACAGCAAGAAATGCCGAACTTTACTTTTATTTTGCAAAGTTATCCAAAGTTCAACAAAAAGATCATGTCCGTGCTTCGAAATAATATTCAGATGTCGCTTTCACAGCTACTGTACCTGCGTGAACTGTGGTTCAGAGAACGTACTTTTGCTGAATATGGAAGTTTACAGATGGTAGTGCATTTGCGACCGAATGGCATAAAGTGGGCACAAAATTGTCTTGATATATACATCCACTGGAACCTCAAACCACCGACTGAGAAATAAATGCTACAGGACAGGTGTTAATAGAGTTGTCCTAGGAAGGGGTCCCGGTTAGAAACGTTGTAGAAAAGTGCAATTTTTACTCTCCATATACAAGACAGCAAATAATATTCGACATTTCAACATTAATTGGAGTATGAGCATCAATAATAGTTGCTCTATTGGAATAGTACATCTGAATGCTTTGAGAGCATATAAAGAAGATACATGGAATAATATATTCAAATTAGAACTATGTAATAAAATTGCCCTGACAAAAGACTATTGCAGAATGTCACCTGTTCATATTCTTAACAAAAATCACCGGGTAATAACCGCCACTGTAGAGAATTTCAGAATATATCAAATTCTTATGCCGATAATTAAATGTTTGAGCTCGGCTAAATATACGTACTTTAAGAAAAAAGTGCACGACAAAAAGTTACTTGCAATGGAAGCCCAATAAATGATTTCAGCACATTGAGGACTAAAGAAGAATCACATTTGCACTTTCGAAGCACGCACGTTTTTACCTAAAGACCGTTTCTGTCAGCCCTTGTGGGAAGCTTTTTGCTGCTTAAATAGCCTCAGGTGTGCCAGCGCTGTGTCAGCGGCGTTCCAGCTCCGTACTAGAGTGTGCCAGGCCGTGCAGAATCTCCACGTGGACGAGGCCCCGTACTGTAAGGGCACACTTCTTTCACGGCGCTAGCGGTGCTAGCATTCCACTGCAACGACGCTGGCACGGCGATGACACGGCACCGGCACGGGCAACCCTGGGTCACATCCCTACAGTCTTGAGTCCTCAACGTGCTTATTAGCCGCATACTGCATGAAAAATGAGAACAAGAAAAATATAAGTCAGATATGAGTTTGAGGAAAAGCTCCTTTTCCTTGAGAAAGGACAGATTATAGAAGGAAGTAGTAAGGCATCTCTGTGAGGAGGCTAAGCCATGAATCACTTTACAAATTTCTGGACAATTGCTACAACATCAACAATATCAATGCAATTGCTGAGAGTATAATTTGCAATGAACTTGAAGAATTTGGCGCTACTCGAAAGTTGCATCCATTGGTAACGCATGAACATACCTAAAAAGATGATATACCAAGAGTACAAAAATTCTATTTGTCAGCGTCCAATCCAAATATTTATGGTCCAAAATTTGACCGGACAATAAAGATGCGAAATCACAATCACAAGCTACAGTTGTACAATCGATTGAAACACTTCCAAAAGGGGGAATCTACTACTTTTTTCGCTGTGCCTTCCTAGTTGCCTTTTTCATAAATCTCTAATAGATAGATAATATTTTTGAAGCAATATTTACAGATTACCGAAGAAAGTAGAACTCACCTCAACAACCTCATTCGTATAGACCTTTGGATAAATTTGTGAAAGAGGCAGACTGACGCAAATCGCTGCGCGATGGAGAAAATCCACTTCTCGTGGTGGTGATTCCATTGCTGACAAAAGTCTTGAAGCACAGCCACGAAGAAAGAGATACGGTCGCTGTGGTGAGCGAAGACCTAAGGACAACGATAAGAAAATGTGAAAGGACCATTTCTAATGGTTTCCTTACCTCCAAAATATTGAGGCTCAAAAATTGTGATACACGAGGATTCGCACGATTCAACAGGGGCAATAGCCTGTACAGATTCTTCCATATCGCAAAAGCGATCAAATTGAGGCATACTGAAAATCTTCCATTACTATGTTACAAAAGAGAAGAATAGCTATACGGATAGCTTCAAAGGTGTTAGGGCTGCAATGCTGCTTCAGCACTCTAGCAAAACAAAAATTTCAAAATACTCTTGACAGTATTTCTCCCTTAAAGTTCAGGAAAAACAGGCAAAAAATACAGAAAAAATCTATGACGAAGTTTCCACCATGAGTAGCAGAATTACGTCCTAGTATTTCAAGCATTTTTCTAAATTTATTATACTTTTTATTAATTGTTTTACACTTACAAAGCTCATTTCTTAGATCTATGAGTACCTCTGACTTGACCATTCATAAAAGCATGCAAGATTTCTGACAAAACTTACCCAGTCATTCGTGATAGAACATCACTTCTTTCGAATATCGGCCTGTACTCTGACGATGCACACGAGAAACACCTGGAATACATAAATCATGCTCACTGTATGAAGACGCATTCTCTCAGAACAAATGCTTTACAAATTATACTCTAGACCTCTGAAATTTGATTGTCCCAAAGAATGAGTTCTGCCTTTCAAACTATTTCTTTGGGGACTAAACAATCAACAAAAGAAACATATATCTTTGTAAATGAATTTGTAAGTCATGAAACAAACTTTCATTGTCGTTCCTTATGGTCAGTCAAAACCTTTTCGCAAGAGATAAAATTATTGACACATTTGTACACTTCTTTTCTTCTGGGACTTGTTTTTGTTGTGACTTAGTAAGTCTTCCGTACAACATTCATAACATCCGTTTGCATAAGAGGGGTACTAAATGAGTTAGGCTTTGAAGGATAAATGAAAAAAGAAAGTGTTCATTGTATCTTTATGACAATAGGTACACAAGCAAAAGGTTCCGATCAGGATGAGATTCGAACTCACGCGGGGAAACCCCAATGGATTAGCAGTCCATCGCCTTAACCACTCGGCCACCTGATCACGTTTTGCTTCCGCGAAAAAATTTCACTTGCTAGTACGAACTATTGATAGTTTCTAATTCAAGACATGTACTGTATATGTTCCTTCAGGAGCATTTGCGGATTGCTTTAGAAGAGTCTAGTTTTGAAGTAGTAGGACGCGAAAAGCGTTTTGCTTTCTACATATCTCTCCAATGATTTTCACTCGTCGATAATGTGCACTTCAAACAATGAGAAATCGATCTGCCGAAAATTGGAAAAAGTATATCACAAGCCTTTTGATGAAGAATTCATTACATGAGAAAATAGAAGAGTCAAAAGGCTATTAGTTGTTGTATCGAAAGAACTCCATAGCACTTCTATTCTAATGAGTTGGAAAATAAGACTTGCGTTCATATTTTTGGAAATGAATTTTCTTAGAAACTTCGTTTTACTTTATCAAATTTTCATTTAGCTTTTCCGAATAAATTTGCTTTTGGTCTAGATTTTCAACTTACTGCTTCATCTGGGATAAATTTTTGCTGATCGTAATTCCTTGGAAAGTAATGATTCAGTCTTTATTCTGAATCTGGAAATTGTTCTGAACGAATTTCCTCAAAAATGAGCATTATATAGATTAACATACCAAAAATTCAAACGAGCTGAGATAATCTTTCATGCTTTTTTGAAAGAATCAAAAAATTTTTACGAGATCACATTAGCATTTAAAATTGACTTTCACCCGCTGCTACCCTTGCTATACCTAAGATTCCCTGCATCTAAGCTTTGATAATTTTTTTCTCCATAAATTTTCGCACCCTAGAGAGCCCCTGATACCCTAATCCTCACTAATCGCATCATCGATGAAAGATTACGTTCTCGCAATTCTAGGCTTTTTCTTCATCTTGCGCGTAATCGGCACCCACTAGCCAGTGACTTTGGCTGCTTGGCCAGCATGGCTCGGTTCCTAATGAACTGATTCAAGCTGTCGTAATTGAGCGTCTCCATTGTTTATAACAACTGGCCCGGCGCTGGGTCTCGCTTTTCTCGGCGTTGGAACATTGCCAAATAGGATTAAGATTACTACTGGGATTACAAGGAGACAAGAACTCTTATAATTACAAAGTGCTTAGTTTCAACATATGTTACACTTTCTTCTCCTCTTTTTTCTAGAAAACTCTACAAACTTAAAGTCTTGAATTTGGCTTATATGGGGGGAGGGGGGACAAAGGGGTACCCATAAGTTTTATTTTTAACTTCAAGACATCAGTTACAGTAAACATAATGGGAATTCTGTAAAGACAGTTCCTTTTTTATTGTAACCCCTCATTATTTTTCTCAACTTTTCAGATTTCTATATATTTTCGGAGGCATCAGTGCTGATCCAAAAGCGGCACGGAAGTTTGAGCTCTTCAACAATGCAAGTTGGATGTTTGCGAACAATAAATCCAAAAAATTTCAAAAAAATAATAAATCGAAAGAAAAAGCGCGACATGTATATATCAAAAAACTACAACCCCTCATCTCCCTGCTCATATGGAAATTATTTTGAGAAAGTTACAAAAGCTTTTCTTGCGAGATGTAACAAAAGAGTATGTGTCATATTACAACCTAATGCTCTAATCTAGCGGGCTTGAAAGGGTCCTGTGAAGAAAAAGCTCCTGAAGCATTTCACTCCCCAAGATTTCAACAACAACTAGCTAGTCGCCTCGGCCCCCATTGCCAAACAATTTCGTCTCGGCAACAAATCCGATCCCCTCCACCCCATTTCCAACTTCATCTGCTAGCAACTTAGCAAGCACAGCGCCCGAGGATGAGTTAGGTTGGGTCAATGGAAATTCGGTTAACGAAATGCATTGCACTCGGTTCTCCTTAGCTTCAAATGGAAGTACGATGACGAAACGGCGCTCAAAGATTTACCAAAAGCTGGATGCAGATTGTCTCAAATGAATAAAGTTAGTGGGAGGTATGTAGTGAGGATGTGAAGAAGTTAGAGATAGCGCAAAAATTTTGTAAGCTCGTGAATTCTCATTTCCAAAAAAAATTCGCTTATTTTGATGAGAAGGAAGAAACATGTGTTCTGCGAGGTGATCAGGGCAAAAATTGTCCTCATATGGCGACGATACAAGCTGATAAAAAAGGCGGTTGAATTGCATTCTTTAAAATTAAGATTTAGCCGTAAATGCCTTACCAGTTTAATCTGGAATAGTTTTTGGTCTTTACGGCCTACTCCTCAAATAAGAAAAATTCGTGATGAGCGGATTTCTCTGCAAGTACTATAATAGTCGTGCCTTCCTGAGTTTTGCCTTCTTAATTTGATTTAGAATAATAACTCTTTACCAGAAATATTACCTTCATAATACATGACAAAAAGTCTATTATGTGAATTTGCAAAATTTTTCAAGCAAAAATTTTTTTTTATATTTTTTGGCACGAGGCTAATGTATCAATCTGATATTTTAACTCAGCTAGTCAGTGTGTAGTAAAGTATCTGAAAGAAAAAGTTGGTATAAACAACATATAGCCTTATACAAAGATGTTGTTCTTATAATTTGGCTAGAAATGCTGCAAAAATTGTGAATCTCCCAAATTTTAGCTCAGAACTCCATCTATTCTAGAAAACTTCTTGCAGCAAATTACCAAAAACAAATCAAGCTATCCGTCCAGAAAGAAGTTCACTCGAAAAATCAGATTATTCACTCACTTATAACGATCAAAAATAATTATTTTCCTTTCAGATTGAAAAATTGAAGTTTACCCGTTACAAATGAAGTCTTTTTTACTTTAACAAGCAGCCCCTCAGTTGTGCTGGAATCACTTCCCACCAACAATCCATCTTGAAAGGGTATAAAATAGAGTAAATGATGTGTGGACTGACAGGAGGCGGAAGCCAAACGATGAATGCCTCTTTTAGGTAAAGGAATAGGTTCAGTTCGGATTGAAAAGAGAAGAAACTGGTAAACAAGATACAAGATATATAAATATTTTCAAATATAGTAAAAGAGCCCCAAGATCTGTGGCTAAAAGCATAAAAAATTATACAGATCAAATGTTAAGAGGTGAACGACCTCTTCTGGTCATTTTCCTAATCTGTGAAAAAAAAACAGCAATTCTTTTTTGTTCATGATGGAAGAGCAACTGGAGATTTCAAAATAAATATATGTCGTCAAAAATTTTCTAAGGGTTGAATCAGTGTAGTCAAAATTGAAAAATTTACTGGTCTTTCTTAATTTCGAAACTGGGCATTATCAGAAAACTTCTAAGCTAGCAAAAATTTATTTCAAAGCTTTGTACAACGCAATAAACCTCAAAAATTGCAAAATGATCCTTTTTTTATCCTAGCCAGTATTCCATTGGCACTCTGTAATTCTAGCTTTTGTGGAGGTTTCATCCTTCTGTTCTCCATTTCACAAAAAAAAACCTTCGAGGATTTCTCCCCATGAGCTGTTTTGTGTTGAAATTTTGACGTATCGACATGACAACGTGACAGATAGGTGAAGCTAGCATTCTCTCGTTTTTTTGGCTCTAGGCCAATTTTATGGCATCATCACTTATCACTGCAAAGTGCACTTTCGATTTAGAGTTGAAAAACGCTGAAAGACTTCTGGAGCCCTCCCCCCCCCTCTTTTCGATCCCAACACAAAGTTCTTCAGATGTTCTGAAGGGGCGCTGTCAAATCTGATTCTTTGCATGAATGTGTCACCTCATCGCCGTCCGTTGTGTGCGAGAAAAGATTGAATACGGCGATAATTTCGAACTTTTTTGCGTCAAGCTCGTCCGATTCCGGAGATGGCAACTCACATGCCTTATGGCATAGAAGAGTTGACAGCCCGGGTTTTTCTGACGAAAAGATGACGTCATGGAAAAGCTGCTTAAACACAAACATCTCATTGTTTCTTGAGCAACTTCTACAATTCTTAAAATCGCAATTCGCAAGTAGGAAAGCCTGCCTCCCAGCTTCAGCCAGCACAAACAAGGTGTACGCTTCAACAAAATAAGGAAAAAAATAGTCGATCTGGCGTAAATTCATTTCAAATGCAATTCGAGATGGAGCCGATGGAAATGATATGCGCCAAAAGCTTTGGATTTCTGTATCTGCATTACACCTTTTTCTAAAAAGATAGTCAGGAAGTAAAGCTTCTGAAATTGAAAACCAAAAAGGTAATACTGACAGAACTGTAAATAACAATTTTGGCAAAATGATTTTATAGTTGAAAAAAAGTTAAATGCAAGTGGGAAAACGCAGTTCATTTTTTGTACAAAAAATGAAAGAACTGTCCTTTTCCTCATTCCTAAAAAACCGGGCAGACTCTACGTGATTTCAGTCACGACGCGATTTGGCAATTCGCCAAAAGTCTTCGGGTCCAACACTAGCAAACTGTACATGCATAGTGTGTATAACTTACGTGGATTGATAAAATATCCTACCTTCTGTACATTTAAAATGTGCTTAGAGC